GCGAAGAGGAGCGTCGGCGGGGCGGCAACGGGAAGGGCAAGAAAGCTGTCCGCGACACCGGTGGTCGCAATTTGCCTGCAGCTGAGAGAGCGCCAGACCAGAAGAAGTAGAACGGCTAAAGGTCATGTTTGTATGAGGGAAAGAAAGACGGGATCATGGTTCGGCGTTGTGGGCGGGCGTTTTGTTTGAGAGGCGTGTAGCACTTGATACCATAGGAGTTGGAAACATTTGCATCTTGAACCACAGAATGCAAGGAAAGTTGCTCGTTGTGATATATGATACAGTCGTACACGTATTGTACATGCATGTAATTGGCGTCTGTCCGCCTCTTCCTCCGCTGCTCCTCCTCTAGACACGTCTGGGCTTCTGACTCCTCGTTCCACCAAACTTCAACCTGGTCGAATCTGCCACACGAACAACCTTCTGGCGCCAAATCTTGCCCTCGGGGGCCATGAGAACCTTCACGGCTGCTTCTCTTCCCTGGCCGAACCCTCTCAACACGACCTCGAGCTTGTTGATCTTCTTGTGCCATCCCATGTAGCTCAACCGCTCCAGAACGTACTTCGTCAATTGGTATGCCGCATCGTAGGATTTCCTCTTGGACTTCTTGAAGCCGATGTTGCCTGTCGACATGGAGATGATGGCGCCGCGGTCGGGCTTCGTCACGGTGACGTGTGTGTTGTGCTTGTGCGAAAGAACGTGCATGTGAAACGGCTCGAGACGGTCCTCCTGCTCCTCCATCAGGTTGTCAAGAGCTCCCAGGCCGGACTTGCCGTTCGAGGCGCGGTTGAGTGTGTCGAAGAGGAGGCTCTGGGACAGGTTACCGGGGGTCGAGGCAGCCTTTGGTTGCTCTGCTGGAGACTGGAAGGCGGCGGGGGCGGCCCTCGAGCTACCGTACATGGCATTGAGGAGGTCCTGACCTCCCTTCTTCGCATCGGAAGGTTCGTCGGCGCGGGGCGCCGTGGTCTGGGAGAAGGATCGGAGGAAGGGCGACATTCGGGTCACCGTCGCTGGGCGGGCGGCGGCGGCATTCTGGAAGAGCGACCTCGCCAGGAGGCGGGTCGATGGTGCGGAACTCATCGCTGTGCGTGTTCGCCTTCCGTTCGGTGGGAGGGAGGCGGCGGGGGGTGGTTTGACGACACTGACGACGGCCCGTGAAGTTTTTGGACGGGCAAAATTGACAGCTCGAATTCGCAAAGTCTGGAGGCATTCGCTGGCTCTGATTGGCCGTGTGCCCGCCGGGTTGTCTTCGGTTGAACAGGGGCCCAGATTTTTTCCGCGCTCCGCCTTCAACCGAAATCGCAGAGCTTCCATCCCAATTCTGGGCCTCGACTAGTCCCTCGTCGCCCGCGAGCCAAAATTTCTCTGCTGCCAGCCCGTCCCTCCTCCACCCGCTGCCGCAAATCGTCATCTACACCTTTTCGCTGCCCTGTCCCTCCCTCCCTTTTTTCTTCCGCCTTTGCTTATCGTCGGGAGGCGGTAAGCTTGGAATTTTTCAATATGAACTCCCTCGTGCAGTCGGCGAGGATAAATCCTCAGAGTGCATCTCTTATTAGAGCTTCAGCGCGGGCGGCACAGAACCACGGCAGGACGCCCTCGTATCGCCGGTTACTCTCAACAGACCTGAGCGGCAACGCTGCGCTGGCCTTTTCACGACAACAATCCGCCCTCCGACCCACACCCCTGCGATCACAGTTCCTCCCCGAAGATGTGCGGTCCATCTCGAGTTCGATGCAATCCCGCTCTTTCCACTTGACGGCCGGACAGCTCCAGAAACAGCAGACCGAGAAGCCCAAGACGCCCGAGGAAAGCGCAAAGGCCGAGGAGACCAAGCCCAAGGACGCCGAGTCCGAGGCCAAGGAGGAGTCGACTGAGAAGAAGCAAGAGGAGGGCGAGAAGACCGAGGGGCAGGAGGAGGGCAAGGAGGGTGAGCAGGGCGACAGGAAGCAAAAGAAGGAAGATGCCCCGCCCCCTCCACCCCACGGTGACAAGACGCCATGGCAGGTTTTCACGGAGACTATGCAGGCCGAGTTCAGCAAGTCTAAGGAGTGGAACGAGTCGACGAAGGCGCTGTCTGGTGAGATCCAGGACTTCACCGAGAGTGAGCGCGTGAGGAAAGCCCGCGAGGCCTACGAGAAGTCTACCGGAGCTCTCTCGTCGGCCGCTAGCAGCGCTGTCAAGACCACGGCTGGTGCGATTGGAAAGGGTGCCGCATGGACGTGGGACACCACCGCCATGAAGGGCGTCCGCAAGGTCGCCAACGTTACCGGAGACGCCCTCGACAAGGCGACGAAGCCCCTCCGTGAGACCGAGGCGTACAAGAACGTCAAGGACGTTATCGACGATGGCAGCAGTTCGCGTTACGGTGGCTGGGTTGAGAAGGAAGAGCGCAGGAAGAAGCGCGAAGCCGAGCAGGCCAAGCACGGCAAGCCCGAGATCATGGAGGAGGACCCCAAGTAAGTTGTTAGCCTCCGCTATGCCCGAACTTTACTGACAGCTACAAGCGCCGGCACCAACGTCACTCTGCACAAGGACGCCGCCTGGAAGGAGGCCTGGAACGAGTTCAAGGACGGCAACAAGTTTGCCCAGGGCTTCTTCAACGCCGGCAAGGTCTACCGCGAGTCCGACAACCCCCTCATCGAGACGGCGCGCCTGGTCACGGACAAGATCGGCGGCTTCTTCGCCGAGAACGAGACGGCGCAGGTCATCAAGAAGTTCCGCTCCATGGACCCCAACTTCCAGACGGAGCCCTTCCTCAAGGAGCTCCGCGAGTACATCCTCCCCGAGGTCCTCGACGCCTACGTCAAGGGCGATGTCCCGACCCTCAAGCTGTGGCTCTCCGAGGCGCAGTACTCAGTCTACGAGGCCCTGACCAAGCAGTACCTGCAGGCCGGCCTCAAGTCCGACGGCAAGATCCTCGACATCCGCCACGTCGACATTGTGCGCGCGCGCATGCTCGACCCCGGCGAGATCCCCGTCTTCGTCATCACTTGCAGGACGCAGGAGGTGCACGTCTACCGCAACGCCAAGAGCGGCGAGCTCGCGGCTGGTATGGAAGACAAGGTTCAGCTCGTCACGTACGCCATCGGCATCACCCGCGTGCCGGACGACGTCAGCAACCCCGAGACGAGAGGATGGCGTCTCATTGAGATGCAGAAGAGCGGAAAGGACTACTACTAAAGAAACATCCAAACAAAGAAAAACCCAAAACTACTTCCCTCCTACTTTTTACATCTTATATCAATAAGATGGTGTTTTTTCACGCACGCGGGGCACGGGCGAGAGAGAGGATTCCGGTTGGATGAATGAATGAATGAAGACCCCCCCCTCCCCTCCTCCCATGCACACACCCTCGACAAACCCCCTTTTTATACAAAGCCACCGAAAAAGTGTTTTTACTACCTGTACAAAAAAATTAGAACGGGAGGGGCATATGGGACTGGCGAACTTTTGGGCGACTTGCGTGCGCCGGAACGAGAGAGAGAAACAAAAAACCAACACCGCTCTTGGAGGCTTTTTACGTGTACGTGTAGAAGATGAAGGGAAAAAAGGCCTGTTCTGTGAGGGAGGCCGAGTTGACATATTTGACATGTAATATTACGAAGACTGAGTGTCCTCGGCCACATATTTCTGCCATCCTGGACTACAGTGAAGTTACCTGTGCCTAGTCTGCAGGTTATCAGACAGTCTGCTGCCTAGTTGCTAGTCTGCCCTCGGACTTGCCTCAGGAAAACGCTTTTCACTCGTCGATTCTTGCAGGCTGAGCCTCGACCGTGGCTCCAGGCATAGCATTCGCACTCGTCGGGCTTTCACTTCACGGTCTAAGTGTGTGGGGATTTCAAGGGGTATTGTAAGCCTCTGAGGACTGCGATGATGTTATGAGGCACTTTCGACCGAGGCTAAGTCGATTGGCGACAACAATGGGCCATCCTCAAAACACGCTGACGAGGCCTCATCTGGACCCGAACATCGTGTTGACGACCTGTGGTGCTTGCCGAAGTCTCGGTGACGGAGGTGATGAAATAAAGAAATGCTCCGCACGTTTAAGAATGCAGGCTACAGAAGGTCAAGCAAACGGGGCGCCAAGCTTGTTATTCTCTCCTGACGAGTACCTTCTCTTGGCAAATGAACATCAAAGACATAACCGACCATATGAGGCTTGCATTCGAGCTATTGTCGTTGCACTTCCCCTTGTCGTCCAAAATGGGGTTTAGATACGCTTGCCAATGGTCCAGAAATACGATCGCTGATGATCAGAATAAATTCGATATTATAGGGCATCGCAGTGATTGATATCAGGGTGGAAGATGCGAAGAAAGCTAAACCACGCGAAGTCCTACTTATGATCACAAACCAACATAGCTAGCTGCCGATAAATGGAAGATCCGTGTCACTCCACATAATAAAGGAGTGTCGTGGACAGTTTGGGCACCAGGTCATGGTCTCTCAGCAGCGAGAAGTTCAAAACATGGACTCCCATTTAGCTGGCATGGGCAGTACAATTATTCCCAAGAACCAACCCGCCTGTAAATATGAATCAGCGATCAACAAAGCATTAGTTTCATTATCAATGACTCGATTCATGCATCAAGTGTGGCCGGTGGTGATAGTACAAGTCACATGCAGACATACACAACAAAGGCTAACGATTTAATATTTCCATTTCTGAGTTGCGGCCAAAGGTCCGAGTCCTCGGAAAACCTACGCAAAACACGTTCGAAAGAACGAGACTTGGTCTGCCGCAGGTTTCTTGATTATAAAGCTTTTCTTCGATCTGCCGCCATCATATTCAGAGAACCGTTGATCCGTTAACACTGTGTGCATTTTCCGCTAGCCTAGTCAACTAATATATGTCCGGCGAACTACTCAAATCATCCCTCCAAACGCCCAGCGATGGCGTCATGCCTGATCCTGCATCATTTAATGGAAATTGAAAGACTGTAGGGTTTAGCCTGGGGTTTCCTTCAGGCATATTCAAAAGCTCTGCAAACGGAGTGTCTTCAAGCCAATGGGAGGCAAGTCTTGCTGGTGTTGACGACCAAGTATGGTGTCTGATACCATGATGGGAGGTACGGGCGATATTGACTCCAGTACTGGAGGTTGTATCATCGTCTCTAGGTACTGCTGATGCGGCCAGGGCGTTTCCCTCTGAAGCCTCAGCCGTACTTGGGCCTGCAGCTCGAATCGAAGTTGGTATGGCACCAGAAGAGTCGCTTTCAGACTCGCATTCCGAGCCTACGTACGCACTAGGCAAAACCGAAAGAGATATTTCCTCCAAATGGCTTGATATGTGATTCAAATTCTCATTTTTCTTACCACCCGTGAACTCTAGACACAGGGGGCATTGAGTTGAGCTTTCTTGGTCCGCGAAGCCATGTTCCAAGGTAAGATGTTGAATCCAGTCTTCACGTGACTGGAAAGGCTCAATGCCGTATAGACAAGAAGTACTGTGGCAGATCCAGGGCCGCAAGTCGCTAAAAACGTGTCGTCTTTCATCTATTAGTGGGCAATCATCTTCTTGGAAATGGATTGGACTTACTTCCAAGCGGAATTATTCGGAAACTTGACTTGACGCCCACAAATGGAACATTCAAAGGCGTTGCCAGCGTTTGTCGGCATTGGAGGTATCTTGACCGACGTGGAGTTTTGGTTCTTTTGCTTGTAGGACATCGCGGTTTCGGCGTATGCAGATCGAGTGGCGAGTGATGTTCCCAAACCTGAGTCATGGAAGTGCGTACCCTTTTCCGTCTGAGGAGGAAGAGTACCTCCATCCTCAGTTTTGATGTCATTTTCTGTGGTTTTCTTGCTCTCCTGAACTCTCAAGAAACGATTCCAGCTGGCTCTGCCAAGACGATCCACAAGCTCAAGCTCGGCATCCGGAAATCGATAGCGAATATGGTCTGAATAGTACTGGCACCCTATGCCCGGTTGAGAGTTTTCGGCAGAAGGGTCGATACTTTTCGTCCTCTGAAAAGTCATGAACGGTGATTCTATGAGAGATTCAAGGTCAAGGAGACACTCGACCTCGATCCACATGTCATCTGCGATCTCCTCCCAGTCAGTTGACTCAGAAGCTGAAGATGTGCCGCTCTCGCTTTCGTCGCTTTCGGATTCATCATCATTGCGTTGCAGTTCTCCCTTTGCTTCCACAAGTAGATCCTTCAGGGACTTGGTCTGCTCATGGGCATCATCTTTGTTTTCCGTCAATAGTGGTGCCAGCTCTGTGGCTCAAGTTACCAAGTAAACCTCAAAGGGGGCAGACGTGCGGAAGGCTCACTGTTTGATAGTGTTTTTCCAATGTCTGTGAGAAGCTTCAGCAAGATTCTTTGAAGCATCCGCGACTTCTGGCAAGCTTCATCCAACCTGCCATCTACGACTCCATGCCCATCAGCCCACAAGATGAAGGAGCAACCGCTCCGCTCCAGACGCCGATACACGACGCTTGGTAGGCGCTTGTCCTTGTTCATGTTCCTGAAGGCACATTTCGTTACCCTTATGCATTCTTCACACAGACGGCTAAGTAAGCTCCTCGTCTCGGCGGCATCATCATCTTGGGTAAGCCATTCTTGAATCCTATCCAGAGTTTCTTGCTTGTCGAGTTTCTGCTCCTCAAGTGTCTGCTTTTCAAGCCACGCAAGAATCTTTGTCCCGTCGAGCACCATTGTATCGCTGGATTTGTAAGTATTTGGCTGTTGTCATTGAGATGGATTCCATTGGAATTTGCTTAGCAACTGCAGCTTACCCATATCGCGAGCAACACCAGGCTGAACGAAGATCATATCGGCAACCTGTGCAGGCTAGCGCTTATTCAAGAGGATCAGCTGCCATGTCATTGTGCATATTGAGGGGCGGTGCTACAAGTCAGCCATCTACAGTCTTTCTATTTGTTCGTCATAGTAACGTATCTCGTCAGCGCCAATGCAGTCACTACACGTGATCAACACAACCCATTTCAGATCAGGCTGGGCTTTTACGAGGCAACGAGTCTGTATCTTCCACTTCTCCTTCCCTTATTCTTCAGTCTGAACACTTATCTTAACCTGTGATGCTAGTATGGCAGAACTTGCGCTGGGGATAGTGGGCATTGTGCCATTGATTGGCGGCGCGATCAAGGCGTACAAAGAAGTCAACCAAAAGCTGAAACTTTTCCGTCACAGCTCGAAGGAAGTTAAGAAGACACATAAAGTTCTCAGAATACAGCGTCAGGTATTTGCCAACGAGTGTCGCCTTTGGCTGGCTTTTGGCATTGAAGATGATGAGACTGCCACTCAGATGGCATCTGATCCCGAACACGACGGCTGGAACGACCCTAGTCTTGATGCTTCTCTTCGGAATCGATTGAAGGATAACTACGATATTTGGCTCGAAGTGAACGCAGGTATTGTCAATACTATTGATTCTCTCGATACCAGCCTTGTCAGCTTCAGGGAATCTAGCGATGTAGAGGTATAGTTGCAATCGTGGAAGTCTTAGAAGTTTGTGTTGTACTAATATCAAGATAAGACCGGTGCATTGCAGAAGACTCTCAAAAGAACCGAGGGAGGTGTCAAGGCCGCCTTTACCGCAAGCAAACACGAGAAGCTCATTGAAAAGCTTCGCGCGTCGAATAATGAGTTGAAAGGCTTGCGCGAGCAAATTGAGGATATACACAAATCGAAGCGTCCTTGCTCAGTACAGATGAGGGCTTCGCAAAAAGGAGACTGCGAGAGCCTGATCGGAATAAGAAGGGCATCAAAAGCTCTTCACGAAGCCTTGATGAGTACTTGGAGATGTGGTCAGCCTGATCACCTAGGGCATGCCATGAAGCTATTTGTGGAAGCATACAAAGTGGCCGATGAAATAAAATTGAACCTGGCCATCCTCTGCTACAATCGTATCGGAGATGTCGCACGTTCAACCCTGGTTCAACTTGAAGTTCGGTCGCAAAACTTGGAGTGGATCGAGCAGTCGAATCTGCCTGGACCACTACCGCCCCCGGATGATGATGAAGTGCCACCTCGAAAACGACGGAAAGTCGTGCGATTTGCAGAGACTACAGTGCAAACGCATTTCAAGGAGTTCAACAGTGCTACAACTGTCACTTTGGGACAAAATTTGAATTGTGGCTCCTGCGACCTCAGGTCGTCCAAAGACACCTGTAAAGAGCTCATGCGACGTCTCAGCACTGAATGCTTGGGTCATATCGATGGTCAGTCAGACGAGCCATTTCGTCACTTATTTTATCCCGCCAAAGAAAACTTCTGTGGCGGTGCTCTTCAATCATCTTCAGACCACAAGGCCATCAGTATGGACGAAGTTCTTGATGACTCCTCACAGGCTTTCTTTTCTACTGTGGATCGACTTAAGCTTGCCCGTTGCTTAGTCTCGGCTGTGCTCAAGTTTCATTCAACGCCGTGGCTAAGCGACTTTTGGAGACTGAGGGACCTGGCTTTCTTCAGAACAGACCAAGATGAGGAGGTCTCAGATGCCCTTCGGACTCTGCATCTGGGTGTGGAGGTTTCTCAGAAACAACTTAACTCGATGGAAGACGTTCAGATCTCATCAGAGTGCTCAAGGTTGTCTCAAGTCTCAGAAGACGATAGACTATTCTGCGGCATCAATAACCTAATGCTTCACAGCCTTGGCGTGGCATTGCTACAGATTGATAGGTGGGCTCAAGTTGAGCCAAGCGACATTCTTAACGTTCGTAAGATGGCACTGAGGAACTCTTCATTAGGCCCTCGATACCAGGAGATCACACAGAAGTGTCTTCGTTGCGACTTTGGATATGGGTCAGACCTCACAAAACCGCGTCTTCAGGAGGCGGTCTATGAGAATGTTGTCGGTGCGTTGGAAAAAATGATTTCAAGCTTAGACCTCACCGATGATTGATTGTGTACTATTTCGGATAGCTGGCTCTCTTCGGGCGTGGAGCTAGTTCTCGACTTCAATCGATCACGCTGGAAAATTGTTTGGCATCAGATACGCGAGGCTTTTCTTCAACTCCCTCAAACTGCTCAGAAAAACACGTCTCTTAGCCGTTTCTGTTGATAGGAGTGATTTTCTCCGTGTTTCCAGAACCGGGAGTGGTGGTGCGATCACTTTTACCGGCTTTCTGTGGTCTTTTCATGGCTCATAGGGGAAGGAGCGTCTGATCAAGGCCAGCCACAATATCGAGATACGAGTCTTTGCCATGGTTCCGCTGTATCTTTAGTCTAACGGCTAATTGATCAAATGTGTCCCACCTTTCAGCTCTTGCCAGATAGGTCGACTTACCCGGGTAAATTCCACCGGCTGTATGTCGCCAGTTCTGCCCTATTACAGCTTTCATCTAACCCACATTAATGTTGATGAATTTGAAGATTCTGCCTGAGGAAAAACGATGACTTCCCTGGCAATTCTGATGCGCTTGAGCTCCAAATGAAGCTTGACCCAACTATATTTGATTTCCTCGCATCCCCCATTTAGGACACTTCAGGCTTGGTGATCTCTCTTGCAGCAAGCGCCCACGATGCGTGCCCACAACCTAGCTTTGCTGGGCTTTGCGGCCCTAGGCATTGCCGCTCCGCAATTTGGGATAGGTGAAGGCTCTGTTATTCTGATCCCAGGCGGCAACTCTCCTAGCAACCCTCCGATTACGGTACCGGACATACGGCCAGGAAAGCGTCAAGTAAGTGACCACATCCAAGACTCTACTCAATACCTTTCCCCACATAAGCCTTTCGCTATCTCTTCTAGGTATCTTAACGGTTAATGGCAATAAATTAATCCTCTTTTCAGTTGGTAACAAACGTAGGACGCCGCGATGGAAATCTTGATGCACTCAGAGATACCTACCTCACACTCCTTGAGCCCTACACCAAAGAAGCCAAGCCATCTGTTGGCACATACATGATATTGCTACATCTCGCCGACATTCTTGCTGGCAAGGGTATTGCAGTTGATACCATCGTGCTTGGCGAAGCCTCCACCATCTTCGGCTCTTCTACAAAACGACAAATCTTTGAGATTGGCGGCTGCAAGGACTCTGATGTTATCGGTCTTCGCGCAACTTTGACGAGCCTGTTGCTCATTTATGGAAACAGACCTCCTTTCGAGATCTGGAACTTGGAGCAAGCCATCATCGCAGCCCTCAAAGCATGTGGTCAAGACATCGGTGTCGGTCCCATCATCCCCGACCAACCAATTCCGGGTGGTCCGCTTATCCCCGACAAGCCTGCGCCCGGTGGCCCGATTATCCCAGACCAGCCGGTTCCGGGTGGGCCCATCGTCACTCAATCTCCGGTCCCCGGAGGTCCGATCACCCCCAGCGACTAGGTGTGTGGCTGCCAGCTTGCTGGTTGAGTTCCGGCCGAGTCTGAAGATGCGACCAGCAAATCCGTAGGCAGAGCAGGGCACCACCGGAGGAACACCACGGACAAAGATAGAGTTGGTGCGCATGGAGAGTATGGAAAAGGAGGGAGGATGCAAAAGGCCATCTTGTCGGCCGCTGGAAAACCCTGTCATGAATCTTCACGATGTTTGACTTTCCCATGTCTTTCCGTTTCTTCTTCTTCTGATGATTACTTTCTCATTCCAAAAGGCTTGATTGACTTAAGCTCGCGGTTTCCGGCTCCAACGTGAGATGCGTTTCATGTTTGCTGAAAGATGAGTGTCAAAGCGTACAGCCCTATATTCATTTTGAACTAACAAGACAGAGAAGCTTCGTGTTCCTTACTCTGACAGCTCACAACCTCGAGGCATCGACATCAAACGACAAGACAGGCGAGACAGGAACAGCGGAGCAGGCGGTAATCAAGCATTTCTTCTCCGAAGTCATCTGGTGTTTATTCGTCCTGAAGTTGGGCTCAAATTCTCATCTCAAGGCTGATGAGTGAGATTGCGGTATGAGAATCATCTCATGGTCCCGGATAGAGTCGCAAACGAGTATCAGCTATGATCCTCATCGTCGCAGGACACCCGACACTCCCGGTCAGCCTCGTGATAAAGCCATCACCAAACCCACCAACATGTCAACGCCAAGAAACTCGACGATGGGTGTTCCTGTTTTTATCAGCCTTCTCCCGCAACTTAAACACCGAACACGTATGCCTCTTCACCATTTTCCTTCGCTATCCGGTTACGGTTCTAGAAGAGGCGCATAGCAACTCAAATCTCGCTCAGACAAGCTGTCAATGTTTCGTTATTACGGAAAAATATCATAGGGCAGCAAAAGTCAACTCTAACAACGGATTTTCCCCTGATCCTATTTCTCCTGCTTCAACTGAAGTCACGATGCCATATCCAATGACAAGCCCCCGGTCGCCGGCGCAGTCGTCCGAGGCGCGTCCCTGATGGCTGACAAACTCAAACAAGTTCTATTGCGGGCGGGAAGCCACAGTCCTTCGCGGTCATGTTTCACTTGAAACTCCCGACCGAACTCCGGCCACTCTGCCGACGAGCACGGAGCACCCACTCCGGCCGTAAGCCTTCTTTTCTGGTACGGTGACCCCAGGAGCCACTCGGCCGCCCAAGAGGACTGCCGCATGCCGTCCGGCCGCAGTGGTGGAAGATGGGCGGATGGTAAAGTCGTAGTCGATTCAAGGATTTCCGAAAACGTGCTTCTGACCTCGTCCTTACCCCAAACCAGACAGCACACACACAAATACACATGCAGGACGAGAAAGGCTAATCTTGGTTGCTGCCACTGCTGCCACGCTGACAAAGACGCGTGCAGCCCATGGCTTTCCCTGCAAACGGATGAAGCGGGAAAGCCACGAGACAACCAACACAACGAACATACTTCTCTTGGCGGTTCTCTATTTCGCGCCTTTCGGCTTTAATGAGAACCGGAAGCTCTCATGAACTGCAAAACGCCGAGTCATTCTATCAAACAAATCCCATCACGATCATCATCACGATCCTTTCCCCACAAAAACTTTCAGCCCAACCCGTCCGTGGCTCTTACCTTTCCCTCCCATCCCTCTCCAAAACTTCTGCCCCCGGCCGGCGTTCATGGGACCATTTCGACTGCATCGTGGCCTGTTCCCCGGCGCCGCTAGATTCACAATCACGCAACACTTCAACAACTAGCTCAGCCCATGGAACATCGTGAACACCCCATCCCAGAAACGTGGCGAACCCAAACCAAACTGACCAGTGCACAACCACACAAAAGGCAGCATCGAACTTACACTTTGCCTGCGCTTGCCTACTCGAAGCCAAACTCGTTTCTGCGAGGAAGGGAGAAAACGCAACGTCGGCGCCATCCGCGACGAACGCGTGCTCTCTACAATCTTGCTTGCACCCATCTACAAACCATCCATCTCATCACATCCCGTCCACATCCTGTTTAGAGTTTGGATACCTTCACTCCTTCGGATACGATCACGCCGAGGCGGCGTGAGCGTAGAATAGTGCACCCAAAAGGGACGAGACGAGTCATTTGTGGCCCAAACTCTGCCATCGCGCAGGTGCTAACAAAACTCTTTGCAACCAGCTGCGTGGCTAGTTAGACCGAATACAGGTAGGCAGGATAGGGGACCTTGTCACACTTTCCGCTGGGCCATGATGGTTCCTGGAACTCAATCATGCCACAGCACATGGCGAACTGTCCGGTGGCAGATGACGAGCTGTCGTTTTCATCTCGCACAAGCTGGAACTTGACGCCGTGCGCGGTTTAGGGACAGATGTTCTCTCGTTAACGTCAACGGTCTGGTCTCCGTTAATATGAGTCAATAATGCTCTCAGACGGGTTGAGCGTCTTGCGGTTCAACCTCTGGCGTCATTGGTAAGGAGATTGTCTCGTCCGTGCAAAAACGCGGTGTACTGACCGAAAAAGGGGCCCTGTTCACCACCCTTCACAACTTTTAACCTCTCGCGACATATCGACATGGGGGCATAGGGGTCCTCAGCCACGATCCAAGCGGACGGGATTCCCTTCGTCATACGCTGGGCGCTGTTCATCAAGCCACGTCAATCAAGGTCTATCCAGGACCGTATTATGGCAAAAATGCATAGCTCATCCAGCGGCCCCAGACACATGCTCCAGCTAACTGTCGCATCATGATGAGATGGTGTGCCAAAACATTGTCCGCCTCACAATGGACCAGACGGCACATCATTTTTACAAAGCAAGCCCGTCGATCATAAGCAATAAGTTCCCTACCCTTATGTCGTTTGAAGAGCCCTCAATGTCACCCATCAATACCTATGCTTCGCAAGCATCCAATCCATCAGGCTCCATCCCCGTGTCTGATGTGTCCCGTGCTTATGTCTGGCCTCTCGCCGCCGCTCCCGCGAAACCCTTGATAACTTATGACGCCTATCAAAGCACATTCAAATCTCTTGGCGACCGACGCCATTGACACAGAGCCGCCGCCACGAGCGGACACTGGTGCGGCCACGTCTCGTAATAGGCCAGGGTCCAGACCCAACGCTGCAAACAGCGCAGTCGAACGAACCACGGACCGTGATGTCGGGTTATGTGGACCGTAGGCTTCAAGCCACCCACATCGAGATTACCAAAACATATTGAAAGCGAAGGCAAGCCAAAGTTGCCCTATCCAACGCGTGGAGGGAGGCTCCACTTCTCCGGCGGCACGCGGCGTTCACGGGAGAGGAAGGAGGACGAGCTTGACGCCGTCCCATCACAGCCCTCCGGGGTCCCAGTTCCGCGCATCCTCTACTCATCAGCCGGCGCGGAAGGAACATTCACAAGAGGCTTGAACGCATGGATCACTTGACGCCCGCCTGACAACCACTCCCGCTCTCGGTCCCTTTTCTCAACACACGAATGGTCTCTTCCTAAAGAAGAGGTAACCCACCCCCCGCCACGCCCAGCGCTAAGGTAGCCCACGAGCCACGGTACGCGTAGATTTGGATAGCATAATGGCGGCTTGGAAACAGGCTAATATAGTCAGAGGCGTACAGAAACAGAAAAGACGGTACCGTGCGCCGCCGCCTCGCTTAGATGCTGGACCGGTGCGCGGCTCGAGATGAGGACCCCTGAGGCCTGTCGGGGAATTTTCTCTATCTCGACGGGACGTGGGAAGAAAACCAAGGCTGCGTAGCGTGGGCACGGATACGAGACTATTGAACGAACAATGGTAGCGGACCCAACGCGGACGGGAAATATTATCCCCTTAGCGCTTGGCTATCGTGTAAGTGGTTAGTCACTTCGTTCAACCACGGGCCGCCATGATCTGTGCTGTCCGTCTTCGTCGAAATATGAATCTGCCGAGAAATCTCCAGACATCACGAGATTACTAACAAGCCGTGCCTTGTCGAGCTAGCCGGTTAGTCACCGTGCAGGACCTGTCGCGAAGCTTGTCTGCATATTGTCAATATGTAGCTCGACGTCAAGCCACTGCTTGGACCCGATCCTTTGCTCCAGCCACGGTTGATCATTACGGAGGCTTGAGTGTTTGCGGCTTTGCTCTCACACCTCTCTGTCCTGCGCCCGGCTCATCTATCCCCCCCCCCCCCCCCCCCCCCCCNTCCCCCCCCCCCCCCCCACTGCCAACATGAGCCCTCAAGCTCGCCCCCCCTCGTACCTGATTGGTTCACACCCGGTGAAGAGCCTACGCACGGGAATGGCTTGCGTAGTAAGCGGCCGTGGGATCATTGACCTCATAGCGTCTCGAAAACATCAGACGGCGGCTGTCAGAAGGGGCGGTGCATAGGGTTGGGACCAGGGCGCACGCGCGGGCGGCGGCGGCAGGTCCCAAGGTTCCCCTCCAGCTGCGTGGCCTTGTGAGGCAGCGGACGTCGGAAGGCGACCCCCTTTGAAGGATTTGTTGACTTGGCTTGCGGTAGGTCATTGTTCATGCGCTTTGGTGTTGAGCTACCTCTTTGATGATGTTGATAGACATGGATCAGATATGTCGGAGCAAACCCTGCGGCAAGGGTTGTTTGACAGAGTTCTGACAGCTCCAAAGTCAAGTGGCGATAGACGAGCTCGATTGCGCCATCGTCAAGCGCGCAATGATAGGACGACATCTTTTCGCGGTGTTTTGCCTGAGAGGGCAACTGTTGTTGGTTTAGCGGGGGGTACGGATACGTTGCGGTATGTCCTCGGCAATCTCCAACCGTTCAGCCAGCGCGAATGTCCGGGAAGATCGAAGATCTCCTGGCTTCTTTTGCGAGACACAGCTAAACTTGAGACGGGCAAAGGGAGACCTACGTGGTCGATCCCGCTTGATAACGAAGCACTCTCGGATTAACTGGCGTGTTGATCTTCCTCCGCGCCCGTTCTCAGTAGCCAAGACATGATCAGGACGTTGGCCTTAATCGAGTTGGGAAATACATTCGTTAGTGCTTGTGGTGAAAACTGAGCT